TTTTTTTTCTTGTGGGTGTTTCTATTTGGAAAAAAATATGAACATCGATAGAGGGAGTGGAAGGAGTTTTGAAGGATAAATGATGGATTTAGAGAGCAAATTAGTATTTTTAGGTAGATGGTCTATCTAGTGCTGTCATATTAATGGTGAGTCAGACATGTAGGTGGTCATGCTGTTACTCATTTTGGATTAGTTACAAATGTTACCGTTCATAATAAAATTGCATAACTTAATTAATATATATCAATCAATCTCACGATAGGCGGTAAATGAAACAAGCTGCTCGTAAGCTTGGCTCGTTGTTCGAAAGTGAAATTTTTATTTTTATAGCTCCGTTCGAGCTCGGTTTGTTAATATCGATAAAAGAGCCGAACTAAAAAACATTTAGTTTCGGCTCGTTAATATTAGGAGTCAGGACTTTCAGAGTTCGGCTCAGCTCATTTGCAACCCGGCCTATATAGTTAGATTTATTTATGTGGAGTACTTGTAATTGTATGAACAAATGTTGTTTATAATCAGACAGTGAATCATATATCATCAACCAGTATTTGGTATAAAATAGTAAACTTTATGAACATCCAATCGAAAGACACTATGCAGAAGCTCATCACATATTAATGATTTAAAAATAGTACTATAGAGTGCCTACTACTTCTTTGAATAATTTCTCTTATTTTCCACAACTAGTTGGCCTCAATCTTTATCACTTGGATCATGTTCAAATACATTAATTTTGCTACAAGTTCAGTGGCGTTTGCTACATATGGCAACTTAGGTAATATTATTTAGTTCCTTGATTGGATTAAAGTATGTCAACAAACTTAGGTTTTTGTGATAATGACTAGATATACAACCATGGCCTTGTTTAATTTGCACAAAATAAGACTATGCAAGTTGAGTTCATATACATAGCCTAACTACTAATTATTTCCCAAATTTCCAACCATGATTGAAAATATTGTGCGAAAGAAACTTTTATAGCAATCAAGAATGGAAAAATATCTACGTACTTATTATCCCATTTCGAGAAAATAATGACCACAATATAACAAATTCCTTATAAATAAACATTTTTTTTTAAAAAATTATATGTGGTAACGTCGAACACTCCAACCGGCTAGAAACGACTCACTCGAACACCCCCTCATCGGTAAAACTTCGAGTACCTGCAAAAACTCTCACACATAAGGGATTTTTCGGTGAAGAGCCTCCATTGATTAAGTCAATATAAGTTCTACTCAATTCTCCAAAGTATAATAGATAAAAATCGTAGTGAAATCGTAAAGGTCATCCCTATATATAGGTGTGAGGTACCTGCTTCTAGAAGGTTGCCCGTATGAACTGAGTTGGCTACCCAAAACGGCCCGGCCTGCCCGTTCGTACAACACGCACTGATGGTGTGTCAGAGACGGTTATGTTATATAGACCAATCAGGCCGTGCCACGTGTCCTCTACACGTGGGGTTTGATTCCTCTGAAAACTCCTCAAAAGCTCTTATGCTCGACCAAATCTGGGTCAATCCGCTGACTACTCCGAGTATAGAAAGTGGTCGATCAAACGACTATTTGCATGATAGGTCGATCTTCGACCAGATCCTCCGTGGATCTCGGACAGACCTGTTGTCGATGTGTTGGAGTACCCTATAAGCTGCCCTCACATCCAAAAGCTCTTGTTCCTGTGACGTTCTACCACGACCGCCCTGTTCGGACTCTGTTCGACCAGGGCGACTTGTTCGATTTATTCGACGGGCTTATTGGACTGGTTCACTCTTCTAGATATGGTCCCATATCAACATGTAATGCTGTAATTTTTTTATAGTAGCAAGAAAATATTTTGGGAAGAAATTTAATCGAGGTTATCTAATTCTCCTAGATGTACAAATTGCTTGGTCATGATTCACATAAGTATTGACAGATAATCCTTAATTATAAATTAAACTCGATATGTGCCAAACATTGACCCAACATCAATGGACCTATACGCCTATCCAACAACACTGATAATTTGCTCCATGCTAAGTCATGGGCCTCTTTTACATTATGTAGGTTGAAGATGGAACAACACTTGCCAAATCATGTGAAGGGTATTGTTTACAGTTCCAGCCATAAATTAAATGTGAATGTGAATTTTGAATTTAAAGTCAAATCCGGAATTTCTATTATAATATATTTTTAGAGATGGAGGATTCAAATTGAGCACGATTGAGTAAGTGATCTAATATAAAGTAACAATTTTGTTAATGGAGCCATCGGATGGCTCGGCTTATGGAGTAATCTACAATTGGAATTGGATAAATTGAAGTTTGAAGTGATTGTAATTAAATTTTAACTTGTATAATTCATTTATTTAATTTAATGTCTGATTTTACATTCATTGATACCAAATCATTTGATACAAAGAAAATGTAGAGCTAATATTTGAATATTTGCAGTGACATTTCAATAAATGGGACAAGCTACATTTGACCTACAAAATTCCTCACCGAAAGTAAAGGAATCTCTACCCTACATTAATTATCAATTCGTCTAATTAACTTGGGTTATATATGCTATCAATGTCCCTCTTACTGTTCTAACAACTTTTGTAATAAAATTTTGTATGAACTTTTGGGCACATCTATTGAGTATTATTTAGAAATTAGCAGGGTGGACAAAAAAATTATAATTAACAAGTGATGTGATCTACATAATAATAATAATAATAATAATAATAATAATAATAATAATAATAATAATAATAATAATAATAATAATAATAATAATAATAATAATAATAATAATAATAATAATAATAAGTGGTTTTTAATTTGTGTGATATTTTTTATTTTTTCCTAAAGTTCAGGAGTAGTAGTTCTCGATTATTGAGATTATATCTCAATTATTTATACTTTTGGTTAATAAAGAAATTGACATTTTTATTTATTCTAAAAGAATTATAACATAGATATGATATATGTAGAAAAATTGTTATTTGATTTTTGGATACTTCGGTTCTGTGGACTATTTATAAATGCCAAGCCCAACAGCTTAGTGGACTATTTTTCGGGCTTTTCACAAATATGAAATTAACCCATAATTAACTTTGGGAACCGAACAGTGAACAGTCTGAACTGGTGCGATCAATCATGTTAATAAAAATTCTGATGAAATTGCAATAAACATTAGTCGCATAAAAATAACTGTTGATATCAATATAAATAGCTGAATCTTTACTAAATGAGAATAAATTAATAAAATTATATGGAATACAACTATATGTAAAATTATACGTCTTGCCATAACAACTTAGTGGGCTGATCATGATAAAAACAATCCGTTACAAAAATGATCCAAAGTGTAATGTGGTTTGGGCCCAACTTCTCAACTATCTCATTTTCCCCACTGTATTTCTCATTATTTATTTATTTATTTTTGCTTATTATATTTCTCATTATTTGATCAACCATCTAGTCATTTGTTTCTTTCCAAAAAAATCCCCACAAAATCTTTACTTTGAAGCATTTCTACTTTTTCATCTCTATTGCCGTACTTTTTTTTTTTTGGGTCCATATCTTTGTTGCCATACTAAATCAAAGTCTCTACGTCGAGATTGGATAGTGCACTGTTATCGTGAAGCTAATTTCGCTGCGGACCGCTTGGCGACGCTGGCCCACTTATGTCCTAATGGTTGTCAGCGATTAACCGATCCACCGATAGAAGTTAAACTGTGGCTAGCAAATGACGTCTTTGGCGTCGCGTATTCTCGGAACACAACTATCTAGAAGTGCTAGGCTCCGACCTCCTTCCTTTGTACCAAAAAAACGAAAATCAAAGTCTTCTCTCTCTCTCCCTCAAGGGTGAAAATTAAAGTGAAAAATATATTCAAATATTGAATTATAACTGCAAACGTAAGCAAAATTGAAAAGTATGCATGTGTCTCTACGTATCTAATATGCAATCACCCCAACATCTTTTCCCTACTTAACGCGTCTAAAGAAAAGGAGGATATAATATAATACAACACTCCTTGGTCTAGTATAAATTGCTCTCTATTTTACTATGAAAACATAACCTTGGGCTTAATTTTGTTTAATTATAACTTTAATTTCCTTTGTTTGTTTTTCCTCGTCTTAACTCGGAGATCATGTCTCAGCAGGAAAGAGGGAGATCTCCGGTGGCGGCAGCCGCCACCTTGGTGGCACTCGTGATGGTTTGCCACTGCCGCCACGTGGCTCACTCTAAACCCACCAACTATGTGGTGGGGGATGGAAAAAATGGTAGTAACCTATTATGGTCCATCATTTTATATCCTTATGTTTATTACCCTACTAGAGTTGAAGGCTTGAAAGTGAATGACACACTTGGTAGTTGGTAAGAATCTAAGATCATTAACTAATTAGCACACATAATGTATATTATATTCTCTCAGTTCACATACTTTGTATACTTGCATTCAATTCGGAAAAGCTAAAGATTTAATCATGTGTAACTGACACCTAATTGAGAAATACTGATCGTGTTGACTTTACAAAACACCTTGTAATTGCAAAAAAAAAAAAAGAATTGGTCCTTTCATTAGCAAATGTTGGTCCTGTGATTGGATGTTGACGTGGCTATTGTTTTTCATTGCTTTTTTCATACATGTGGCAGCTAACTAACATATCTACCTCAGTAGCCGGTCAAATTGACTGGCTTTTGCCTGTGGAAGGACTAAAAATCCGGTTTTCTTGCAGTTATATGGTGTTTTGTAAAAATCAACCCAACCATGCATCAAACTATTTCTCAGTTTCGTGCATGTCGGTTACAGGACTAAATCCCCAATTTCTTTCCCATTCAATTCCAAGTGCCTTGGTTTTGTTAATTAGTGGCAAAAAAAAGTTTTGACAGAATGAAGTTGTAATTGATCGTCGCTTGTTGATGAATATGGCTAGAGTTCATATATGACAACAATGTCCACAACGTGGTTTGTGTGGACAAAAAGGGATTCGAGGACTGTGCAGCAAGCTCCAGCGACAAATCCACCGTATATAAAACTGGAGACGACAAGATACAGCTTGTTCTTGGAACCAATTACTTCATCAACGGTAAAAACAATGAAGCTTGTAAACAATTGGGGATGAAGATTATGGTCACGGCTGGTAATTAGGGACGATAATGTCGTATTGTGGTTGCTTTAACTATTAAGCCAAAGTGTGTGTCTGTTTTGTGGCCTCTCCAGAGTTAGAAACTCATCTAATCTCTACTATATAATATACAGTTGAATAAGATCAATGATGATCAGTAAGGATATGTATACTTCCCACAGTTTGTGACTTTGTTTTCTTCTATCTTTTTTTCCAAGTACTAAATATAAAAGTATGTTTGTTTTCTACTGTTCATCTTTATTTCCATACCAAATTTACTTTTACATATGTTAGATGATCACTGAATGATGTTCAAACAATACTGATGTTCTAGTTTTCTGATGCTTTTATAAAGACATTGTATCGTTTTCGGATTCGAGTATATATAACTTCTATCGTTTCGAAAAAAAAAAAAAAGTTTTCTGATGCTGGTTTAAAGTTATTGAATGAACAATTTTTAAAACATCCCTAATATCATTACTAAATGACCCTTCTGCCCCCACAATACACAAAAATTCCAGTTACAATTCTCCAAAGCACCACTACAGTCCAACACTCTCCAGAACTCTCTACCCCACCTTTGTACAAACTCACTCGCTTTCAAAATCACTCACCTTTGTACAAACTCACTCGCTTTTTTTCTTCTTTAAAGAAAAAAAGATGGCAGTGTATGGAGCTGATGCTTGAGGCACTGTCAACCTGATAGGTTAATTTTGCTACAAGCTCAAGAAACTGCAGTCAAAGACAATGGACCAAGAGCCCATATCCTTTCTGACTCAGCAACAAGCTGTGGAAATCGATGAGTTACTAACGGGTCAACTCGGTTTGAGCATCGACCAGCTCATGGTTCTTATCTACTTAAAGTAGTTACAAAAGATTTCTGCTTTTTCAAGACCCACTTCGATTTTCATCCTTTTTTTCGCTTAAAGCTGGAATTTTTTTGAAGTTCTTGTTAATGGTTGATTTTCGTCATGGGTTTTTTTGAACGGCAGGAGCTTACTGGTTTGAGTGTTGCATCTGCATTAGCTGAGGTTAGTTGTTATTTGAGCTGGGTTTTCTTCTTCTTGTTTTCCGTTGCGTGTACTTCATTTAGTGGAGTGAATGAATGTATTACATAAGTGCATTAGGAATTAGTTGTTTGTCCTGATTGGTGGCTGTTGCTCGTTGTTGTTTCCGTTTTGTTCTTGATTTACTGTTTATGTTTTGGTTATGTAATTGCTCACTTCCTTTCTGTAATTATAATGCCTAGTTTTGTTGAAAACATACTGTTGGATTTTGTTCGGGCAAATTTTAAATTTGGAATACACATGACAAGTTTTTGAGTTTTATAGAATCCGAGCTCTCGGAAGTTCGATTGTAAGAGTATGAAAAAGGCATTCTTGTTTATTTGACCAAAGTATGAAGTCTCAATCTAGAGGTTCAAAAGACGTCAAGATTCCATTTGGCCATTTAAATGGTGAATGAAGTGTAAGAACTTCTCTTTCCGTAATATGTTCTGGTTATGAAAATATGATAAAGCTATAGATTTTGATCCTTGTGTTCTCCAATGTAGAGAATCACTCACATGTTTGCTTAGCTTCCTTTGTTTAAATCAAATTGCACTGGCCTATCCTACAAACCCGTGCTCTCGCCAATTGAATACGTAAAACACAATCTGATTATTTTGCCATGGATTCTCCTGTTATGATTTCTAATTGGTCTCGCAATACAATGTCAGACATAGAACGGTTTAACATGTTCTGAACACAAGTAAATATCGAGCAAAAGGAATGTTTTGGAATAGTCAGATGAAGTTCTTCATGTGGTTTCCTTTATCTGGTAAAAGTACAAATTGCAATACCAACAATTAGTTACACCTATGAAAAAAGCTTAGAGACATTGAGCGATTTATGAATCATGCATTCATGTTTAGACTATCTTTTTTCTTGTGGTAACAGGTCTACAAGCCAGACAAATATAGCCATGTTCTTGTAATATGTGGCCCCGGAAAAAATGGTGGTGACGGTCTTGTAGCCGCACGTCATTTGCATCATTTTGGGTACAAGCCGTGCATTTGTTATCCCAAGCGTACCCCAAAACCTCTGTTTTCCAATCTTATTATCCAGGTAGGTAATATTCGTGTTCGACGGCCATGAGCTCACTCATTCAATAAAAAAAAAAAGTAAAAAATCATTCATGGTTAGTTGTTTTTGCAGCTCAAGTCATTGTCCATTCCTTTTCTTTCCATAGAATGCCTACCTGAAGAGCTAAATAACTTTGACATTCTAGTGGATGCGATATTTGGCTTTTCCTTCCAAGGTAACATCCTGTATAGTTCACCTTAAATTTTGTAATCTTTTTACTTTCTTGCATATGAGAAGTGCAATGATGTCATGTGCGTTCTTGGTTCGACAGGAAATCCTAGACCACCTTTTGACCATCTGATAAATATCATTGCATCCTTAAGAGAACATTATTATGAGGAACATCAGAAATCACCTGTCATTGTCTCTGTGGATATTCCTTCCGGCTGGCATGTTGAAGACGGAGATTTGAGTAGTGAAGGGATTAAACCCGATATGCTGGTAACTTTTTTCCGAGGGATTTTTTGTATCATCCATGAAAAAATCTATTTTCATTTGATAAGGCTGTGTAATCCACCACTAGAGTGATATTTGAGTACTTTTGTGTAAAGGTGTCCTTAACAGCTCCAAAGCGATGCGCGGAAAAGTTTCGTGGGTCCCACCACTTTTTGGGTGGAAGATTTGTGCCTTCATATATTGTACACAAATACAAGCTGCAACTTCCACTTTATCCTGGCACTTCTATGTGTGTTCGAATTGGAAAGCCGCCTCAAGATAATGAAAACGCTTCAGTACCACCTAATTTTCTTGATAAGGAGATGAAGGCCAATCCTTTTATTCAGGTGAGTGAATTAAATATTTTGTTTTCTTTTGAGGATATAGCAATTTTCTGGTATGTGGCAGTAAGAATATTGCTGAATCTTGCAGTTCGAGGCTTGGTTCAACGAAGCAGTTGCAGCAGGTCTAAAGGAACCTGATGCTATGGCCCTCTCAACTGCCACAAAAGATGGAAAACCGTATGTTTAATTCCATTTGCTTTCTTTCGTTTGGTAGTAATAATAATGGATCCGAATTACTTTATTACTTCCATATCTTTGCTTTGTTTTTTTGGTTCTTATTAAGTCAGCTACTTTGACGGATAAAATTAGTCCTTCAGAAAGAAATTATCATCGTAAAAAGGAAAAAAATGCAATAATCTTCTAAATTTTATTTTATTTTTTTAATTCTTTTGTATTGTCTTTTGTTGATTTGCACTCTTAACACCATCTTGTGCTCTTAAGCAGTGAACCTTTTGACTATGTTTGCATGTTGTGTAATTCATGCAGTTCATCGCGCATGGTCCAACTGAAGGGAGTTGACCAAGGAGGATTTGTATGGTTAGCTTTTTTGCCTTTTTCCTTATAATTTTCTTCCCTGAGGTTGAAAACAAGTTCACCAAACAGTAAATGTATACATTGTAGTGTACCACTTGGAACCCATAGTGGTCTTAATAATCGATGGCGTATGTTTTTATTTTCTACTGTAAGATATATATTTCATTTTCATCACAAATGCGCAGGTGCAGTAACTATAGAAGTCGGAAAGGGCATGAAATATCAGAAAATCCTCATGCAGCTCTTCTTTTCTACTGGAGTGCCTTGAATCGCCAGGCAAATATAGTTGTTTTAAATTTTTTTAATACGTTGAATAAAAAATCTCCAGGTCATCCCTTTCACTTTACTACAGTGATTGATACTGTGATTAACCTAAATTTGACTTTAGTAAATAATTACACAATTCCTTGCCTGAGATGTTCAGCGTAATTTTCAGGTAAGAATTGAAGGGTTTGTGCAGAAAGTTTCTGATGAAGAGTCCGAGAAATACTTCTCTAGCCGTCCACGTGAGCTTCAGATTGCACCAGCTGTTAGCAAGCAGGTCCATTTTTCACTCGAGTTCCGAGCCCATTTTTGTTTTCTTGAAAAAGAAAAGGAAATGCTAGATAGCATAAACTAGTCGATTTCTTGATTTATTTCAGAGCACTGAAATTCCGGGAAGAGAATATCTGCTTCAGCAGTGTAAAGAATTGGAGGAGAAATATCCTCAGGGGTCAGTAGTTTAGTTTATCAAAACCGCTCCAAGAATATCTCGTGTAGTTTTAAAGGTTCAATCATTTGTTGATTTCTACTCATGATGTAAAAGGGGCACACTTTAAATGTGTATGTGTGTATCCAACACTGCAGTCTGCATGAACTCTTATATTTTGTTGTGTTGTGCCTTTCAGAAGTAAAATCCCGAAGCCCCAACACTGGGGAGGATACAGACTCATACCCGACAGATTCGAATTCTGGCAAGGAGATGAATCCTCTGTACAAATGAGGTGGGTTTTATTTTTCTTGACTCCGTAAAATAACAAAAACTATTAACACTTACTATAAGCAAATGAAAAACACAATACAGACGAGTCCAATTTATTTTCAAGATGCTTTTAGAAGTTCGATAAAGTCAATTTGCTTTTCAACGTATGTCCATGATAAATGCTTGATATCATCTGACTAACAGGTTGAGATACATTGTTAAAGTCGTTAATGGCAAAAGAGACTGGAGAATCGTCTGATAGTTGATATGTTGGATTGGAGTGCTCGGAAATCGCCCAATAGCCCATACAATGGCATACTCAACAAGCTTAAAACTTGTAGATATTACTTACTAGTTGTACCTGGTACTTGGGTCCTTGTAATGTTTGGCTGTGAATGTGAATGGATTTTATATTAACGTAAAATTTATTTGTTCAATTTTCAGGCACCAATTCCATATCTCCATTATAATTCAAGTGAATCTGAAATGCTCATCTCAATTTATGTATATCAAGCAGCAGTACAATGAAAGGTTAAAAAAGAAAAGAGTAAATTTCAAGGCCACCCTTATAATTTTATTTATTTATTTTGAAAAAATAAGAAACTCAAATGATAGTTTGAAATGAACACTAGTACAATATCCGTGTACTACAGAGCAAAAATATATAATCTATCTATAACTCTCTTAAAAGGAAGAGTTGTTTCTTGAAACTTTTGAATTGCCAAGAATACCCTCAAAAAAAGATAAGTTTTAAGGTTATTAATGTAATCTTTTTTATTAATGTTAGGAAGTTACAACTTCTATTTATTATTTTTTATTTTTTATGCTTAATTATATCTTTATGTTCTTACACATACAAAACATTACCTACGCAAATTCATATATTTTAAATAAGTTTTTATTCTTAATTATATTATTTTGAATTAATGTACATATGACGTTAGGTTTCGATTTGGTTATTCTAAAGGTAGTTTTAAAATGTAAGAGAAAAATTATTTTAAGATTTTTTAAATATAAAATATATGATATTTCATAAGTATAAAATATTAATGCACCACTACAAGTATCATCTTTAATTTCTAAATATCATATTGTTTACCAGACAAATTTTTGGTTATAGTATTAAAAAAATTAAAAAGGAACAATTTAGTGAACATGTATATGTTTAAGAATGATTGAATCAAAGATAATTATTCAACATACAAAATGTCAACTTTCAATGGAAAAAAATTATTTGTTAAGTAAAAAAGATATGATCTTAACAAAAATAATTGAATGATTGAATCAAAAATAATTATTCAACATACAAAATGTCAACTTTCAATGGAAAAAAATTATTTGTTAAGTAAAAAAGATATGATCTTAACAAAAATAATCGTTAAATTATTCACTAAATCAAAATGCATAATATGATTTAAGTTTACCTGTTTGTTAATAATATGTATAGTATAAATGTTCTTATATAATAATGTGTTACACAAATTAAAATAGCATTTACTGAATTGTAATATAAACAAAAATAGATTAATTACATAATAAAATAATTATAATTCTACCTTAAAGGTTAAATTTTACAATACATGTACTTATTAGAAAATAATTACAATTAAAATTAATAAAATAAAAATAAATAGTAAAATTACTTTAATTTGTTGTCTAGCATATCTTATTTATAAAATCATTCATAAACTAAATGTTTCAAATCACTTCTCAAAAGTAGGGATAATACACTATATATAGTCTTGAAAATCCGTGAACGAAGATAATGCATGTATGACAATTTTAAAAGATGCGACAATAATTTATGTTGGACAAAATATATAGATAAATGAGTATCTTTAATCAATAAAGATGTTATTTATCTAGGTATTATGATAGTCATGTATTTTTTTTTTTTTAATTATTACGAATTTAAAGATATTTTCAAATATTTATGTGTCTCTTATGTCATTTATCTAGGTATTATGAAATATTATACTTGCAAATAAAACTAAACTTACAACCACTATAATCAAAATAATTGAGAACGAATTATTCAAACATAACGTTTTATCTTCCAATCGACAATAAAAAATGATCATTACAAATTATAGTTATAACAAATTCGAGTTATCTTTCAAAGAGTATGATGCAAAAGGATGACATTAGGAAACTATATTTGATG